TCGGGTGAATAGGCCGGATGAGGGAGCAATTCGTAGCCCAATTCATGGATTTTTGCCACGAAACTGCACATGTGTGCACCCGTGCATTATCCTGCTGGAAAAGGACTTTTTCTTGGCCAAATGCGGTCGCTTTTTTTTCAATGCCTCATCGAATCGGCCCAATAAGTTGCTGTAATATTCACCATTGATTGTTTTTCCTTTTTGAAGGTAGGCAATGTGGATAATACCGTGTGCATCCCAAAAAACAGTCGCCATGACTTTATTGCCTGACAAACCCACCTTTGCATTCTTTGGCGCCGATTCCCCCCGAGAAACCCACTGTTTTGACTGCTGTTTGGTCTCCGGTGTGTTGTGGTGGATCCACGTTTCGTCCACGGTTACGAAACGGCGCAAAAACTCATTCATATTGCGACTGAACAACGCCAAACATTCCTGCGAAATTGTCACACGGTTGCGTTTGTGGTCAATTGTGAGCAATCGCGGCACCTATCTTGCGGAAAGCTTTCTCATACCCAAATGATCATTCAAAATTGAAACCACTGAGCCACGTGAGATGCCTATGGCTTCCACAATCTCTCTCAGTTTTAATCGCAGATCGGCTAAAACCATATCGTGGATTTTTTCAATTGTTTCCGATGTGGAGACCTCAACTGCTTGTAGGGCCACATCGGAATTCAGTAAACCACTTTTTTAACATGGAAATGGATGGTGCAGAGTCCCCATAATATTTATCAAGCTTAGCCTTGGTTTGCGTAATGGATTTTTCCGCAAAAAATAATGCTTTATGGGCACACGAAATTCACTTTTTTCCATTTTCTTCTCAGTCAACGAGGTAGTCTGATATTAAAAGATTGAAGAAATATCTGCTAAATGAAGTCTAAAAATAGCTAAATCTACAGAAGAGCCTCCATGAGCAATATTAGAAGAGAGGGGAGAGTAAACAGTTCATCCTGTTCCGGCTGTCAAAAACAAACTAAATGTCGCAGCTTGTTCAATTTTTGACAAAAGTCAACAGACAGATGACTGTTGACGGGAGCATTGTTGCCATTTCAATTAAGAGGCTGGAAATTCAAAAAGCCACGGACTTATTGACCCGCCCTCGTATATTTGTTTGATCAGATATATCTGTTGTGTCCAACACAGTACCTTCCTAAAGTTATCAAATATATTGGCTAACATATAATCAAAAGATATATTTTTCACATTTTTTTAATTTCGACAGTAGCTGGGATGTTCAGTATTATATTGGCATTGCCTTTTATGTTTAAAAATTGCTCTTTGTAGATCCACTTATATTCTATGTTGTAAAAGACGGGTAATAAATTATTTTAAAAAGAAAACATTTTATTTCTTAATATCTAATTTTCAATTGTAGAGTCATAAGCCGAAAGCCATAAAATAATTTTTAATTAAAAACAGGATTGTATTAAGATAATCCCAGTTTACACTTAAAATACCTACTAGTTTCATTTCTGAATTACCCAGTGTGTTTGTATGCTTGAATAATTTGTAACGACTCAATATTTCTAAATTTTAATCTAGTAATCTTGAATTTTGAGTAATTCGTGTACCTATTTGACAAGACTTAAAAAAATTAGACATTTTTGATGTAAGTATGGCAAATTTAAAATTTTGACGTCCTGTATCTTAGTACCTAAGCTATTTAACGAGAGCTCTGAAAGCTAACACCCAATATAAAGGTTTTCTCTAAATTAGATGGTAATTGAGTAATTTGAGAACAGTGAAAAAATGTATCTTTAATTCATATTTTTAAGTAAGAGCGTGGGGCCGTAGTCAAATAACTGAATATCTCCGCTGCAGCTTCGTTAAAATTAATTTTAGAATAATCAAGTTCAAGATAAGAAAATATCGCAACAACGCGCGGTCGGAAGAGGCGAGATCCAGTCCTGATAACTGATATAGGCAACCAATAATGCATATGTGTAATTTTCGATGGAATTTCTTCAAATTAGGCATTCCCACATACTTTGATTTTTATGTGGGCATTCCAAACAAATGAATTGTCAGTGAAAAGGTTTGGTGTATGTAAGGGTTGTGACATACGATGTATTCTTTCTTCTATACGTAAAACCATGAATAATGGATTACCTTTAAATATTTTATGTCAAACACAATAAAAATAATATTTAAAAAACCCGCTTATACATTTCTTTATAAATTGGCAGGCTTGGCGACTACTATTTAGAATAAAAATACACCTATAGCGAACATAAACTGGGTTTTCTATGGGACAAATCGTGATAAAAAGTATACGGATAGATAGAAAAAAAATATAAGACATTTCGAACTCTTATATTTTCCCCCCTCCACTTTTGAGGTTAAAAAGAAACTTGCAATTCGAAAAAAAATTCTTACTTAGTATGTGTGGTGTGATCGGGCAAACAAAAATTTTTGGTACTCCCTCACGCCCTCTGTATTCAAATGTAATAAAAAACACCTTGTATTGCAAATTTGTATATATGGTTGTGCAGAGGGCCCCAAAAATAAAAAAATTGGTGCCCCCGTTCCCCCCTATTTTTTAAGGAAGATTATAAAAAATAAAAACTTCAAAAATCGGGTGACATGGTGCACACCTTCGGAGTGTATAAATTTTTTTACGCCTAGATTTTCTCCCCCCACCGCCCCCCAATGCTTTTTGATTCCCCAGGAATTTAATTTCGATTTTTGTTAATTTTTTGACATGGTTGTATTGGAAAAAAGTCGGTTAACGTTCGAAATTAATTTTATTACATCCCCCCTCTTTTTTCAATATTTAAAATTTGTTTTTATGAAGGGGAATGACAAGAATGTGATCTAAATGGTTAGACGTTGTTTGGAAGGGGTCGTTATGATTGTCCGAAGCTCAAAATACTCTCCCGGGGAGAGTAATTTGACCTTCATCATCCCCTCCACACACTTTATGGGGGGAGAGTCTCCCCCCATAAAGTTTGTGGAAGGGATGAAACTTTTTTGTCACAAATTGGATATTTTGAGATATTTTGAATATATAATTAAAAAATAAAAAATGTCATGGGGTAACTTCCCCCCACCCCTTTAAATTTTTTATAAGGTTTATTTTTTATTATTATTTTCAATATATTTTATGACTTAGTGTCAGTAGAGGTCAAATGTAGTAAGGTGTTAGGTACTATCTCCAGCCTTTCGCAAGCCTTAAGAGTGACCCCAAAATGAAAATTTAACATTTATATTGTATAGTGTGCATGATGTATGGGACCAAAGTTCGAATCGAGTCCCCCTCAACCTTCAAAAAATCGTCAGGAGTAGACTCAAAATAAAATTTTTGGGATATTATTGTGCGAATAGTTAGTGGGACTACAAGGGAAGGTTTTTGCATCCCCCCTTACTTTTTTTAAAAGTCCCCAAGGGTGACTTAGGAATAAAATTAAAGAAATAATATTGTGTGGATACTTTATGGGACCAAAAGTCGAACGCTTTGGTACCAAAATTTTCTCCCACCACTTTTTTAAAAAAAGCAGTAACCTAAAAATTAATTTCAGATAAAATCCTTCTGGTAGGGTATTTGGAACCAAAATCTAAGAGTGTTGGAGGTGTTCCCTCCCTTTTACAAAAATCCTTTAAGAGTAAACTTGATATTTTTTAATGTAACAAAATTCACACAGTTTATAAGATATTTAATTTTAAAAATTTTAAGATATATGACGTTGCCACTCTGACCTCCGAAAATTAAAAAGTATTAATTTTATTAACAATTTTTAAAAATATGAAAAAATGTTTTAAGTAATTTTGATAGAGATTTTTAAAATAAATACAAAAATGTACATTTTGTTCCCCCCTTACCTTCTTTTATACAAAAAAAATCAAAAAAATAAAATAAAATATAATTAATGAAGCTAGGCTATAATACTTTCGATCCCCTCAGGTTTTGTTCCCTCCTTTCCCCTCTTTTTTAATAAAAAAAAATGGTGGCATGTTGTTGGGTGAACCAATTTGCAGTGCAGTCATAATCACGTCATTTTTAAACTCTTTCAGCATTAACACATTGCCTGTCACCTGTATATGGAAAAATACCCCACGACCACGTGTGCTTTTTTCATTATTTATGTTAAAAAGTAGTTAAAATTTTAGTTTTGGTTGTTTTTGGTATTTTTTTTTTCTTTTTAGCTTTCCCCGCCATTTTTTTCTATGTCAGATGGCCTCTTATCTAACAACTCTCCGTAAGGGTATCGGTATCGATAAAGGGCGCGTCAGGCATATATGCCCGACGTGGCATGACTGGAAACATCACTGTCGGGCAGATACGCCCGACGTGGCACGCAATGTGTTAATTTATAAAAAATATTATTTACCATTTTTTAAATTTTACAGACCCAAATAGTGTTTTAAATATTATATTTATTTACATGTAACTAATGTTAGTGCTGGTTAAATAACTTGTATAAGTTGAGAACAATAAATAAAAAAAAAATGTTTGTTCATGGACATGGGACTGACGAAAAATATCATAATATTAAGGTAAAATCATATGCACAACTTTAAAAATAATTTAAAACCACTCACCTTTATTTGAAGATACACTCGTACTTCAAAGAAGTTTCTTGTATATTATTTAAAATAAATAAACGTTTCTTCTACATTTGTTGCCTTCATTTAAAATCTAAAAATACCAAGATGTAGGCTACCAGTTTAACATTTTGGAAAATTATGTGTTGTCTACCCTAATTGCATCAAAATGGCCGCGCCCTATCTTGGACATGTCGGACGTCTCTCTTGCACCGTATAGTAACCAAAGTATGTGTGCTTATAGCTATCGATTATAATTTTTATTGTTAATTCCTAAAAAAAACTCCGTCTGACAACTCTTAAGCATATGCTATAAGATCTAAATTCAAATTTTCAAAATCTCGTTACCATCGACGTCAAACTCAACGATACAGCACCAAATCAAAGTATGTGTACAGCACGGAAACATGACATCTCAAACGAAATGACGCAATACGACAATATATTTAAGCTATAGGGGTTTAAACGAATACATTGATAATTAGATGTAAATACAATTTTGTGTGTATGTCTAATCTATAGCTGTAATCTATAATTGTAAGACGTTTCAAAAAGTTTTGTTTTTTCCGCATATCTCGCCGAAAGTATATAAGACGCGATGCCCCCTAATGGAGTTAGTGTTTAGAATATTTTCGAGATAAGACGGATTATTCAATCTAACAAGTTTTTTTTCATTTTAACTTTATATATTTAAAAAAAAATGAGTTGCAATGGGAAGGTCGTGATGGACGGCAATGGGGTTATTAAAAATCACAAGTGTAGAGACAGCGATGGTCTCAAGAACGGTTTTGATGAAAATTCTTTAATAGATAAGTAAGTATTTTTTTTAATTTTCTCTAAATATAAAAATTTGCCTTACTTTGATTCAACCACAAGATATGAGCTAACGTCAGATATAAGTAATTTTTGATGTTATAAGATTTGTTCACTTTTACTGGAACATGATTGCGCCCCAAACTAACAATAGGCACTGATAGTTTACCAACATTTTTATTGAATAACTGTGCATCTGTTCTGGCTAAATTTGTATGTATCCTTTGGCATTTATCAATAGAAATGGGTAATTTTCCTAATATGTTCCATTTTTAAAAAAGTGAATAAGTGTGAAGAGAAAAACTATCGGCCCATTACAATAATTGGCAATTTTTCCAAATTAATGATAATCTTTTGTATGATACTCTTTTTTATTATACAAAGCCATATACAAGGTGGCCCAACAAAAACTTTACGTGGGGGTGTTGGGTATTAATATCGTGGATGTTCAAAAACGCTTGAAGAGATCGATTTTAGTCACTTCAACCCTCAAGCAGAGGGCACATAAACTCGTCTGGAGATAAAGGTATGTACAAACTAAATTGCTTTACTTTAATACCACCATTAAACTCGCCTGCAGACAAACTAGGGTTGTATAAGAGAAATATTAAACTCGCCCGAAAACGTATTGAAGCAAAATAATGATTGAGAGCAATTTAAAAAATTAATTTATTTTAGAACATGTTAATCATAATATAATTGGACAAACATGATATTCAAACATATTTTAGTACAGTTATACATTATTTCTTAGGAATATTTTACTATATACAGATTTATTTTAGATCGTATTAATCGTATTTAACACTAATATTAACAATAATTAGTCAAACATGATATTCAAACATTTGAATACATCATTTATACATTATTTCCTAGTGATATTTTACTATATACAGATTTAGAAAAACTTTAAAACACTTGATTGACTTTTATAATTTCTCCAAAATCGCATTTTTTGAACTTAATTATTTCGATGAATATAAAAACTAATTAATATTACATAAATCACCTAAACATTTTACAAATATGAACCTGGACAGATGCGTTGACATATCTTTGTTTCTAGCAGGTTCATTAAGGCTTTTAATTTTTATATTATGTATCAATCTGCAAAGTTAAAAGAACATCGATAAAAATAAAAATTGAAGGATACGTAGAATAAAAACTTCTATTAAATTTTAAATGAAACTTTTCCATGCGTTATTTTTTCTGTTAATGCTTCCAGTTAATTTAGACCACAATTCTGAAGGAAATTTAGATTCCTTTGAAATATAAGTGTCCACTAGGAAGACTGAAAATTTTGTTACTTTTTCATTCTAAAGTAAGTCAAATACAAAACTGTCTCCAACCTCGTTAGGGTCGAGAAAAATTAGACCAAATGCGTAATGCAACCAGTATCCAACTACACTATCTTTGTCCCTATATTCCTGAGTTAAGCCCAATTATTATGTTAAACGAAAGCTAAAACCAACAATTTATGATTCTTGCCATACAGAAAGGCATGCATTTTGTATTGCCATTTCAAAATAAATATGAATTATTTTAGAGCTGAAATGAAATCCTAAAGTGACACATTTTTCACGCAAAATTTTAAGTACGCATTTGTAGGTCTCTTCCCGTATATCGGGTAATGAACAAAAACTAAGGGAATATAATGTCCATTAATTAAAACATCTATACGCTACCATCACGCCATCTATAGTTGAATACTGAAATAATAGACAGTAATGTAATGCCAAGAATGTGTGAAGAATGCTGACAGAGTTGCTATACATGCAAATGCAATATATGCCCACTATTGAAAAAAACCCCTTGTCCCGTAACCTCTAAAAATTCCTCCAGACTTTGGAGCAATGACATATGACAGCCTTCTTCGTACATATTACTGTCTAATATTTCTGTATTCAACTATAGCACCCTGTTGCCAAACCTCTAGAAAATAAATTAGAATGATTTTTATCACAAGCCCTTGCCCTAGAAGCCAAATATTTCAACAAGTCTCCAGGAAACCGAAGTAGATCTGTTTAACATATAAATTTATGCATTTTTTGTCCAGTTAAAAAGTTTCTGTTTCTAGGAATAAATAATTTATTTGCAGTTAACTGGGCGCAGTTTCTTGAACTAGTCTGTTTGCGTCTAGTATACTAGACATTGGAGTCAACGTGTTAAGAAAACCCGCACTCATTAAATGTATATTATAAATTTAATTTTGTATTGCTCATATATCCTATACCAACTATCTTGTTGCTAACAAACATTCAAAGAGATATTACATCAAGATTATTACTTAGATATTATTTAAATAAAAAATGATGTGATAAGGATTTTTTTTAATTGCTTGAAATTCATCTTGAATCAAGGACAAGTTCATTCAAATTAAACTGGTTAAAATATTCGATACTGGGTAAATGGATTTTAACAATTGGCACCAATTTAATCAATCACTTTTCGTAAATTAAGATTTGGCAATAGATAATAAATTAAAAAATTGACTAAATAATTTACGAAACCTAAAAAACATATGAAAGTATTCTTAAAAATAAATTACATATTAAATTAAATATTAAAAAATAATTACATCATTATTTCTTCTGTAAATTAAAAATTTGAGGATTTATCCTCACTTTTGACATATTTTTGAAATTATAAAATATTTTTGTTTCAGGTACACATTTGAAACTCTCACAGAAACATCGGACTATTTAAAAAAATTGGTATCCATCGAACCAAAAGTTGGAATCATTTGCGGATCTGGACTAGGTGCGTATTGGCATGAAGATCTTCACCTTTTTCTTTTTTCATTTTCATTTCATGTGTCCAAAATATTTTTTTCTACGATCGTTATCCAAAGTAGGCTTTGAAATCCAACCGCAAAGTTGACGTTTTCCGCGAACTAACATTAAGTGACAGCTTTGATGCTCGCCCAATTTATATTATTTATAATATAATAATATTTCTTTTTAATAAATGATTTTTAAGTTATTTGTACTTATAATTACATGTTTTTTATTATATTAGCAAGTTAACATGGACTTTGAATATCAACTGCTTTTTTCATGATTAACATAGGTATAGGCAACACAGTATACACTACTTACGACACATTTTCAGCTTTTATATCTATTTCTTGAAAAAGTGTGATCGTAGTAAAAATCTTGTGTGTATTTTGAACGAAAAGTGTGTTGCCACTTTCGACAGACTGCCGCGCCTCGCTAAACATCAAATTATCACTTTTAGCTCTGCTGATCCAGCAAATACTCAATTGTTACATAAAATAAATCATTTCGTAACTGGTTTCATAAATAGTTAGTAACTCATTCATTCATCTTCAAGTTTTTCAGTATCTGTCAAACATTATTCACTCATGATTTTACATGTATTGATGCTACGAAAAAATGGTACTATCAGGAATATTATTATGATTTTTTATATTATTTGTACCAGTATATTTTGTTATTACGTATTTATAACTTTAAATATCAACTCAATGATTTCTTGCAGGAACCTTAGCCGATGCCTTAGACGACAAGATTGCAATTCCTTACGAAGACATTCCGAACTTCCCGAAGAGCACGGTCAAAGGCCACGCGGGCGCTCTAGTATTCGGCTACCTATCAGGCGTACCGGTAGTATGCATGAAAGGAAGATTCCACTACTACGAAGGTTATCCACTATGGAAATGCGCCATGCCCGTCAGAGTCATGAAACTCCTGGGAGTCACTCATCTAATCACCACCAACGCCGCCGGTGGCCTTAATTCGAACTACAGAGTGGGCGACATCATGCTGGTGAAGGATCATATCAATTTGATAGGTTTGTCGGGGAATAATCCATTGCAAGGACCTAACGACGAAAGGTTCGGACCCAGGTTTCCTCCAATGGCCAAAGCTTACGATAAGAAGCTTTTGGAACAAGCTAAGGAGTTCGCCAAAGAATTGGGGTTGGCAAAAAATATACATGAAGGAGTTTATACGTGTGTAGGAGGACCTAATTTTGAAACCGTAAGTATTCAAATCTAACGACTTTATGTACAAATTAATTCCAATTTGTTCTTCTTCTTTTTCAACTTTTATTTGACTTATTTTATTTAACCGTGTATATAGCCTGATTTAATTTCAATACAGAACCTGAAAATAAATTATTTATTGTGATAATGCCAATTAAAATCGTTATTCTACCTGCTTAAGTCTAATTCAAAAACATTTTGGTCCCTTAAATATTCCGTATCTCCATCTGGTATTACCTGATTCCTTTTGACATAGTTTCGAAAGATTGTGAAGTAAATCACATTAAATAATCTGCTCTTTTCCTATCCTCTAAAGTTAATATTTTCTAAGGCGAGAAAACACCTTACAAAATCAACATTTTCCTTATATCGTATTTCTTTTAAATAATGAAAGTACGAAAATAAAATAATGAACCCTAGTTTTAAAATCATTTATTTATGTTTCTTCTACATGTTTTCTACATTCAGTGCTTATTTTTTTATGTTAGACTTGTATAATAGAAGTTAATAAAATGGCAACAGCGCAACAGCCAGTCGTTGATTAGAATTAGAAGATATAGTGGTCGTATATTAGCAGTCCCGAATGTGAGGTACAAATGCCGCGTTTGAGAATCCACATCGGATGCATCTGAGATGTAAAAAATCTTTGATCACGTGATTCAGTATACGTAAATGTAATGGGACAGATGTGTCCGATGTGGATAAAAAAACGCTCGAGATGTAAAAAATGCATCCGATGTGGATTCTCAAACGCAACAAAAGCTTGAAAGCATAGCGATAGCGCGGATATCGTAGTTGCCACATGTTCGCTGTGAAAGCACGGCTATGCTTAATACAAAATAATAAGTACTGTATAACTATCGACTTAAAGGCCAGTCTTTTCACCTCTGAGTAAAGTTGAAAGTAACTACTTGCTGATTAAACTATAGGGTTATTGTTTGTTAATCTGTCAAGTAAACCGACATGTAACTTTATTAGAGGTGAACAGATCGGCCCTAAGTTAGGTTTCTTTTTCTTCTTACAGGTGGCAGAATTAAGAATGCTTAATATACTGGGAGCCGACGCAGTTGGAATGTCAACAGTACACGAAGTCATCACTGCCAGACACTGTGATTTAACCGTACTAGCCTTTAGCTTAATTACCAATGAATGCAAAGCCGATTATAACAGCATGGACTTGGCAAACCTCGAAGAAATTTTGGACGTTGGGAAAATGAGGCAGACCGTACTGCAGAAGTTCGTTCAGAAAATCGTTAAATACATTTCTACCTCGGAGGATTTACAACAGTGATTAGATTAGAGCGATTTAGAATATTTATGAAATTGTATATTTTATTTTATCTATTTTTTTGTAATAAATTATTTTTTCCATGTTAGTTTTTGTGTTTAACGGTAGAAGACCGATTATCCGAGTAATTAGAAGAAGTAGGGTTAAGTTTGGTAATTTATTTCTTCTTCTATTTTATATTGTCTCTTGACAATAGACATACAGCCAAGAAGAAAAAATAATTGAAATAAATATTTCCCATCACAAAATTTTGAGTTAAAAAGACGATGACTGACATAATTGTTTGATCAGATATATCTGTTGTGTCCAACACAGTACTTTCCTAAAGTTATCAAATATATTGGCCAACATAAACTAAAATCTATCAATTCTCGGAACACTCCTTTATTTTTGGATTCTTCGGTTTCATCATGTCCGCGCAATGATAATTCTAATGCACTACAAAATCTACAATTAATACAGGTAAAATAAGCAGGATTCTTAACGAAATGGTAATATTTGGTAGAGATGAAGTTAGATTGTTTTCAAATATATATTGTAAAATGTCGAGGGATTTGACGCTTTAGGTAATGAAAATAATAACAAGCTGGTGGATCAGACAATAACAAAGTGAAATAGAAAATGGTTGTTATAAATACTCCCGAGTGAGATGAAAAATAACCTGTCTTCGCCCATAGAGTCGCATCTCAAGCCTATTGACAAGCATTCTACCCCACTCCAGTTCAGTGGCTTGGATAGACGGCGGACAGTCAATTGCTTGAATTAATAAATTGTTGTGTCTAGGAATAATATGACGCAAGTTTTTTTAACGGGATCAAATTAAATAATGATAAATAATTTATATAGTGTATCATCGTTTAGCTATAATTTGATCCGACAATTGTAATAATTATTGTAATTAATATAAAAAGAAATATTTTTAGAGACCGAAATATTTACAAATTTTGCGTCAGTGCCAAGGCCCTTAGGACAAGCCGCCACTGTCTCTATGGTAAAGTGTTGTTGGTCGAATATACTAACTGGATCGTAATTAAGAAATTTGAGAAGAGTGAAAAATGTTATCTTTAATTCATATTTTTAGGTAAGAGCGTGGGGCCTTAGTCAAATCACAGAAGAAATCTGCTACAGCTTCGTTAAAATTAATTTTAGAATAATCAAGTTAAAGATAAGAAAAGATCGCAACAACTCGAGGTCGGAAGAGGCGAGATCCAGTCCTGATAACTGATATAGGCAACCAATAATGCATATGTAATTTTCGAAGGAATTTCTCTTAAATATTTCGTAAAGAATAAAGATTAGTGATGGACAGAATCGAATTCTTTTGAGAATCGAATCCTTTGCATTCGAATGGTTTCAAGAATCGAATACTTATCCGAGAACCGAGAATCGAGAACACAGACGAAAACGAGCTATTTATTTATGAACGCTCCTGGGTCTCGATCTCGATACTCGCAGTCTCGCACTGATCCTGAACATATCCATCCTCTATCCTCTCGTATATTGATCAAAGTCTCGATCGATGGAGTGGGGGCTATGATCGTATATTCGTATGAACCTTATATTATTTAATCTAAGGCACAAACAACGAGCTTACAGCGAGAACCGAGATAAATTCGAATTAAACACAAGAATTGTTTCCAAATTCACTAGAGTGATTCGAGACATTCGAGAACTCAAGTATTCGAATACTTGGTACTTAGTTCTCGAGACCATTCGAGAACTTTCAAGAATCGAATACTTTCGATTCTTAGCATTCGAATGGCCCCATCACTAATAAAGATTCGTCGAGAACTCGAGGTGAAAAAATCATAGCCTATTGGCGATTCAAATTAATTTTCGCGCGCCTGTCATTTGTCATCTATAAGTAGGATGTTTGTTTATTTACATGTTTTTGTTTTGGACGGATTTTGTATTTGTGATTTTTTTAACTGTTTTTAGATAATATTCTCATTGTAATAGTGTTTTTGAGTTTCATTTAGTGTTAATTTAAGTTTAAGTCTCGTGCTTTCGTCATAAATATAATATTTATCATGTGTATGACTTAATTTGTTGGAAATATTTACCTATTGGTTACTACAAGAACATCTAGAAATATGTATTCACTAAACCCAGAACATGTTGTATTATGTGGTTTAAAGGATATTTCAGGTACCACACGTTTATTATTGATGAACTTATTTAAAAATCTTACTAGACTTATTCTTATATTATGAAGTGAATCACGTAGTACTTTGTATACATGTAAATGGTAATAAAACCGTCAAAAAATAAGATTTCAGTTTGATTCTAAACAAAGTTTCGTAAAATTTTAATATTGTGAATTTGTAGATATCCATTTATCGTAAAAAACAAAATTTTACGACTTGTACTTGGAAAATAATGAATCTTCAGTTTTGATTTTGACATTAACACCATATAGATTGCAATTTTCTGGGGACTTCGTCACAGATTTCATTTTTAATATAAACACTATCACATGCTATAAGAAAAAAACAAATTTAAAGCTAAAAAGTAAAAAAAAACTATTTGTAATTGATACAAATTAAAATGTAAACAATGAACATGAACGCCAATGTTGCCAAATGATGAACTGATTTTAAAACAAAATTAATAAATGAACTGAAATTTTAAAAAAATCAATATAATAAATCGGTTTTATAAAAAAATCCTTAAATAAATATAGATTATCATAACATACACAAATTTTGATTCTTAAATAAAAGGTTTTATCCACTTCTTCCAGAGCTAAAATCCGACGACGTAGCGAAGTTTTGCTACTTCTGGCAACACTGAACGATATCCTACTTATTCGGACCTTCTACAAATTTCCTCCAGAGGGCGTATCACTTAGCTTGAATCGCGAATACTTTCCTTCTGGTTACAGGATAATAAAAATCATGGAGGAGGGATAGATAAAAAAAAATATTCGAAAAATAATTATCTCTTTCAGCTTTAAGTAGGAACAGGCACTCAAAAAGAAGAGTGAATGAAAGTAAATAACCTAACTTTTTCTTGTGATGTGAAGTAAATTATGTAACATGAAATAATGTGATGCAACATGAATATTCATCATACGAAAGTCCGGTAGTTTTACTATAAGTAGTGTAATACTTTAAGCCATTCCATAAAAAAGAAGTATACAAATATGGAATTAAAATATCTTACATATCAGGTATCAGTAGTGAATCAGTAATTATTTATCAAGATGTCAACTGGTATTGCTGTTAACATTATAAGAATGCTCAAATCAAACGTTTTACCAAAATTCAGCAGCGTATTCAAGAAGGCTTTTAGCAAGAAATATCTTTTAGCCACTAATTTAACTCTCTCTATTTCTCTTTCGGGCATAGGAGATATAATAGAACAGAACTATGAAATAATGAATAAAGAAATAGAAGAATTGAACTTCAAAAGGACCAAAAATATGTGTATTTCAGGATTAACACTCGGATTAGTATGTCACTACTGGTACCAAGGTTTAGATAGATGTCTACCTGGCTCTACTTTAAGAATGGTCATGAAGAAACTCGTGGCAGACCAATTTATAGCATCGCCAATTTGTATTGCAACATTCTTTTTAACTTTGGGGTATTTGGAAGGCACCAGCAAAGAAGTATTTATTCAGGAAACTAAACAGAAAGCTATTAAACTGTACGTGGCCGATTGGATGGTTTGGCCACCAGCACAATTCATCAATTTTTATTTATTACCCTACCAATACAGAATTTTATTTGACAACACTATTTCTTTAGGATACGATATTTATACCTCAAGAGTGCAACATGAAGATTCATAGCCATGCATTTAAATAATCTAAAGATCCTCCATTTAGTCATCATCAACTTCTGTGATAAAATGAGTATATAAATACCTACAAGTGTTCATACATAATAATTTTAACAGAATTTTGTAAGGATTTATTACTTCAAGAAATATATATTTATTTGGTATTATTTTTTATTAAATTATAATTATTTACATTTAAAAAATACCGAAAAATGTGTTCTAAAACCGGAATAACCTATAAAATCACTTTCTTCTTTTTTTAATAAGGTTGGTTGGGTTGGCCTCTTCGGGCATCAAATATTTGTTAAAATGTTGGGTATATTTTATTAATAAAAAAATTGTATTCAGAGCACAGAGCTGTAGATATAAGTTTGAACATATTAGGACCTTTTGAAAATAATGTTATTGGATTTAATGGGCAAAATATTTTGCTCGATAGTTTTACTGTAGACAAACCATATAGTAAAATAAATGTTCAATTTACTTTCCAGATACTTATCTTCACGATAAATTCCTTCATCGTGCTTATTTTCATCAAATTCTTACAAGTTTGTCGCTTTATTTTTATACATCCGTAAGAGCTACCTATTCCCTACGAATTTTCTTTTCTTGATAACTAAATAGTTCTACATCTCAATTGGAGAAAAAAGAAGACGAAATTATTTAAACTAAACTTGCACGTCAAATGTCAAATTCCATAGCCGGTTTTGAAGATAAACAGAAAGAACTGATTAATAAATTATTTTCTGAAACAATATTGTGAAATTTCGTAATTTACAAAAATGGTTGTTAGACAATATGCACAAGAATTGGAGTACCTAGAAAGGTTAACCCCTCACAGTTGGAGGATCAAAAAAGGTTTCCAACCTAACATGAACGTCGAAGGAATTTTCTATGTTAATCAGACCTTAGAAAAATTAATGTTCGATGAGTTAAGAAACGCTTGCAGACCTGGCATGGTCGGAGGATTTTTACCAGGCGTAAAACAAATTGCTAATGTTGCAGCTTTACCTGGAATCGTCGGTATGTATTTGTACCATTTTTGTATACTGATTTGTATACTGATTTTAAAATAGATTTGTATCTGGTGTCGTTTTAAGAAATATTTTTCTCTTAAACATTCATTCACCTCTTTTAAAATCAAAATAATACACATTAACATAAATAGCAAATACAAAGTACAATGTTTTGCTGAAAGTAGAGGTCCACCCTGACAAAAATGAGCATTTTCACCTAAAATATGCTGTGTTATTTCTTAATTATGATTTGGCAAATATAGCAGCTCCACTCCTTGCCCTAAGGGCATAATTAAGGGGTTTTATGTGTCGGTAATCAAAAATTATCTGCAGTTATTAGATTTTCGAAATTTGTAGAGTTCATTGAGAAAAGTTCAATAGTGCAAACAAAAATTTGCCTCAGCATAGAATGCATTATTATGATAGTATTAGGTAACCTTTGAGGAGACCTTTTTTAAAATAAATTTGGAAGTATGCTGTATTAGTAATCTTGTAATTTTTGTGGCAAACAAGATTGTTTATAAAATAAGTTCTGAGTTTTTGAGTGATTTTTAGGGCTTAAAATATATTTTTAAAGTACTTAAGAAAATAACATTTTCTAGAAATAAAATATATATCAATAGAAGATATGCAGAAAGCATTAAATTCATAAAAAGGTAAAAAGTACAGTGGGAATAATTGGTTTGCTTAGTTACGTCTTCTCAGTGTACTCAGAACTGTTAGTAATTCCTTTATAAATAATATTTAATAAATCACTAGCTACAAATGAATTTCCAAATTAGTTCAAAATATGTAGCCAAACATAACTTTGTTTAAAAATTATAGACCAATAACAATATTATCAACAAGTTAAAATATTTGAAAAAGGTATTTAGGTATTACCACAATTACAAACATGTAAGTATCTTTGATAACTCAAGAACTACATGAATTTCTTCCCAAAAATTAACAGAAAAAGTAGGTAGATATGTCAAGTAAATCAATGATACAATGCTTTGGTTTGGTTTTGTTTAGCACACAAATTACATGGGCATACCAACAGAGCTAGGATAGGCAGTGGTGACAATAATTCTTCCTGTGAATGATTTTGAACAACGTGGATCCAGATGCTATCTCTACATTCAAATTCAGTGTTGCCAGATAAATAAAATTAAAATCACCAGAATCTAGTGTTGAGAATTGCTAGAAATCATCAGCAGTAGGGAGAATAAAATCAAATAAGTCAACTTGCCTTTTTTCTATGCTTTTCTGTATCCTGATGTTTTTTATGGTTGGTCTTTTCACCTTTAGATAAACTTCTAGATAACTAACTGACAGATATATTATCTGAGAGTTACTATCTGTCAGATAATTAATTTTCTGTCTTTTTAAGTAAATAATAATTTTATGTGGTTAGATAGCTACCTGTTTATTCATCAGTGAAGTATTTTATCAAGAATTTCATTAGTAAGATAAGTTAGGTTTATCCAGAAGTGAGAAAATTACTTTTTAAGTTACTTGGCAGATAAAAATTATCTGAGACTCTATCTGAAGGTGAAAAGACCGACCCTTACAGTCTTCATTTCAGCAATTTGGTTTTTATTGCATATTTCTCAGTTGTATTCTTTTTTGCTTTGGGGTGTCTTCCCAATCCAATTAAATGCTATCCCCCAATCTGAATTATAACTTGCAATTGGTTTTATAATAATTTTGTGTCACTTTTTTATTTTTGGCCATTCTGATTCAGAATCTGTTGATGATGACATTATGTCATGTTGTAGTAATTTTTTAATATGTAATTATTATTGTTTATTTTTATTGGGAAATGCTCGAATTGGGAATTCAAGGACAGATGGACAGATTGATATTTCTTTCTTTTTTTTTTCTTTACTATAACAACTATCACTACAAGTTTGGGTATATAGAATCAGAAAAACAATATTAATGTAATACAGTTCTATTCATCACCCTACAATTTCATAATTATTCTTTCATTCTTTTCAAAGAAAATATCTTGTTATTCTATGGTATAAACATTCTTTAATTCATTGTTTTCATTTCTACACCTTATGAACCCATTACAACAATCACAATCTGTATGCATTGCTCAATTAAACATTTCATGGGAACATTATTGCAATGGCTGGCAAGTTATTTATCTGAAAGATTCCAAACTGTTGAATAATTACAGATCTAAAAACATTCACAACTCATCTGGAGTCCCACAAGGATCCCATTTGGGACCTTTGTTGTTTTTATTATTTATAAATGATATCTCAGAATGTTTCAAGTTTGCCAAATTTTTATGCTTTGCTGATGACCTAAAGTGCTGCCTAGCAGTTTCATCTCTTGAGGATTGTCTTAAAACCTGATCTGGCTAGGCTTGATGAGTGGTGTGCGAATAATGCTATGGACCTAAACATCACTAAGGGTCACTCGATATCCTTTACTAGGAAGATCAACAGGATTGTTTATCAATATAATATCAAGAGTACACCAGTGTCCCAAGTTGCATCCATTTGAGATCTGGGTTATTATGGACTCCACGCTCTCATTTGTCAATCACATCTACAGAATAGAACCCAGAGCACTTGGTATTCTTGGGTTTATAAAGAGAAACACATCAGACTTTACAAGTATTAGTGCTATCAGGTTATTGTTAGGCATCTGCTAGAATATTGCTCTTCAGTCTGGAACCCCCAGTATACTTGTCACATTCATAGATTAGAACAGGTTGAGAGAAAATTTCTTCGCTACTTAGCATTTAAATCAAATATTCCACAGATAGATGACTATTCCTATGATTTTGCGACACTGCAAGAGACATTCTCCTTACCAACTTTGAGAATAAGAGATCAGGCAGATCTAAAATTATTTTTTAAGCTCATTAATTATATGGTTGACTGCCCTACATTGATTTCAAGCATGTTGTTGGCAGCCCCAACTAGAAGCACAAGATCAATAAACAGTTTTCATCAGCCCTACATGAGAACTAATACTGGCCTTAATTCATTCATGCCAAGAGTTTCACGAAGCGCTAATGCTTGTAATTCAAGCTTTTCTAATTTTGTGAGGGTGTTAAAACTTACTGTGACTTACATTCCCTAGTCTTAATATTAGTTGTTTTGATTTTGTACATGTTAATATATTTATGATTTTTGTTGTTAGTTTATCATTATTATGACATATTATTTGAGGTTTTTTTTTGTAACTTTGTACTGAAAATGGACAAGGCCCGTGAATAAATAAATAAATTATTAGCATTGCATGTATTTTTCTAGGTAAATCCGTTGGTTTGCCAGATGTGCATTCTGGTTATGGTTTTGCCATTGGAAACATGGCAGCATTTGATATTGATAACCCTGACTCTATCGTATCACCTGGTGGCGTAGGTTTCGATATTAATTGCGGCGTTAGGTTACTAAGAACCAATCTGATGCTGGAAGATGTCTTACCAGTCAAGGAACAATTGGCTCAAAGTCTTTTTGACCATATACCTGTAGGAGTTGGTTCTAAAGGTATAATTCCCATGAACGCCAAAGATTTGGAGGAGGCTCTTGAAATGGGTATGGATTGGTCCTTAAGGGAGGGTTATATTTGGGCGGAAGACAAAGAACATTGCGAAGAATATGGAAGAATGTTGAATGCTGATCCATCTAAAGTTAGTTTGAGGGCTAAAAAGAGGGGTCTACCTCAGGTAAATATACATTTAAAACATCTTTAGGGCTGTCTGGAACATGCAATTAAATGTTTTAGTTGGGAACTTTGGGTGCTGGAAACCACTATGCTGAAATTCAAGTAGTTGAAGAAATCTTTGACAAATGGGCTGCAAGTAAAATGGGCATTGAAGAACAGGGTCAGATATGTGTGATGATTCACTCTGGAAGTCGTGGGTTTGGACATCAGGTAAATCAGAATGTTCTCATAAGAAATATTATTAATCAACATTTGAAGAAGCTAAAATGATGTCATGGTGTCTTAACTAACTATTACTGATTAACTATTTCAATTTAGGTTGCCACAGATGCTCTTGTACAGATGGAGAAAGCCATGAAGAGAGACAACATAGAAACCAATGACAGGCAGTTGGCTTGTGCTCGTATCAGTAGTCAAGAGGGTCAGGATTATTTGAAATCTATGGCAGCAGCTGCGAATTTTGCTTGGGTCAATAGAAGTTCCATGACTTTCTTGAGTCGACAAGTATGTATCTTAATATATATTTTGTATTTTAAAACATTGAATTTAAATTTGAATTTCAGGCGTTTGCTAAGAAGTTTGGTATGGCTCCAGACGATTTGGACATGCACGTGATATATGATGTGTCACATAATATAGCGAAAGTAGAAGAGCACATTGTCGATGGTAAACCGAAGACGCTTTTGGTGCACCGAAAAGTAAGAAAAAATATTTATATTTCTCATTTTTTTATTTTATGTTAAGATATTTGACATTTGACGTGACAACGTTGACATTTGGCTTCCTTATTTTTATTATTACACCTAGATATTTGAATAAAACAAAGGTAATTGTTATTAGGGTTCTACAAGAGCATTCCCACCTCATCATCCTCTTATACCGGTGGACTATCAACTGACCGGACAACCCGTTTTAATCGGAGGCACCATGGGTACTTGCAGTTACGTCTTGACGGGCACAGAACAAGGAATGTTAGAAACTTTCGGTTCTACTTGTCATGGAGCGGTAAGTTAATTAAATTAACCACCCAGCGTGGTATCAGCCGAGAAAGTAGACCTTTTTTTACCCCCAGTTTGTAATTTTAGGGTCGAGCATTATCCAGAGCCAAATCTAGGAGGAATTTGGACTACACCGAAGTGTTACGTAAAATGGAATATATGGGCATTTCGATTAGGGTTGCGTCGCCCAAATTAGTGATGGAAGAAGCTCCTGAATCTTATAAGAACGTTACGGATGTGGTGAATACTTGTCACGCGGCTGGGATATCTAAAAAGGCGATCAAATTGAGACCTATCGCCGTTATTAAGGGTTAAAAAGTTTGAGTGACGTTTCAGGAAAGACTGCTGATGATCTAACGATGGTAAATTTAATTATTTTTTTATATTTTTGATGGGCGATTTGTTTTGCATTAAGTACTGTGACTTACTGATTAGAATATATCGTGCAATTAAAACGAATGGCTCTTTTTTAATGTAAGGTTTTGAAATTTGTGTAATTGAAAATATTTTATGTATTTTTTTAAATTATTTATTTCTGTATAAGTGAGGTAAATAAAAAAATTACTTAAATTATGTATTTGTGTTTAATTATTTCCAAGGCTGCAGGTATTTGAAAGTGGAAGGTAAGTATAGACGGCACGTAATTGGACTATAAAATTTATAATGAATGTAAGATTTGTATTCAGTGTATGTGAATGTGCAGATGAAAACGGGGTAAATAATTATTAAAAAAAAAGGAAATAAAATTAATATCTGTTTAATCACAAATACCCATCTTCACATATTTCAACCAGATTTGGCAATGCTGACAACTATTGGCAGCTTGATGCGCGCGATCAACAGAACTCAAACAATTCTCTCATCGACACCGAAGAGATTCACAACAAATTTTATCAATTAAGAATATTAACAAAAACAAATAACTTTCAATGTGTTAATGTAGTGTTTATTTAATAATAAAAATCTGATGTGTCCAACACATGACTTTCCTATCTAGTTAACCTATTGCAGCATCTCTAAAAATGTTTAGAGGATAAACTAAATATATACATTTTCCACATACATCTACCTCGAAACATTTTTCTATAGATATTCATTGAAAACGAAAATATTGAAACATTTTAATTTAGCACTTTTCCTCCAATTTTTCCATTACGGTCCATTTTAGAAAAGTCATTTAAAAACAAAAATTATAGAGATCGATATCGCAAACAACTTTTAGATTAACAATTTTCTTAAAAATCAGAATTTTGCACATTTTGTCAAATTTCTCGAATACGGACCATTTCAGGAAAATTTGACATAGAACAAAAATTATAGTAATATTATTGTAAGTAACTTTTATTTAAAGAATTTTCTTCCCCAAACGTAAATAACGAATATATTCCATAAAATATAAAAATGACCACCAATAAAGTACCCCCCCAAATGTTCCGACTCTGTCCAAAATCTAATCAGTTCACCTCAGGTCGAAATAAAACTTAAGTTTAAAATTTAATGTTTTTTCCTTTATCCGTTTTTGAGTTTTCTTCAAAATTCGAAATTTACACATTTTCTCAAATATCTCGAATACGGTCCATTTTAGAGAAATTATTTATAGAATAAAAATTATAGAGAATTATATTACAAACAACTTTTATTTGAACAATTTTTATAAAAAAAATATTTTTTTTACATTTTGTCAAATTTCTCGAATACGGACCATTTTAGGAAAATTTTGCATAAAACAAAAATTATAGATAATTATATAAGAAGTAACTTTTATTTGAAGAATTTTCTTCTCCAAACGTAAATAACAGATATATTCAATAAAATATAAAAATGACCACCTATAAAGTACCCCCCCAGATGTTCCGACTCTGCCCAAAATCTAATCAGCTCATTGGACGCTGAAACAAAGCTTAAGTTTAAAATTTGGTGTTTTTCTGTGTATCGGTTCATGAGTTATGCGACCTACAGACACACACACACAGACATCATCGCGAAAATAGTCAAAACGGATTCAGGGGACCTCAAAACGTAAAAATCCGTCGAAAACTCGAGGTCGAAAAAAATCATGATTCCTATACTTTCCTTATATCTGTATGTATACAGATAGGAAAGTAAAAATACACCATCAACAATTTATTTCAATATCGTTTATTAAAAAGCACCTTAAAGAACATTTTATGCATATATAACTTTCATTTTTATAAATATACGGACGTAGTAAATAAAAAACTCAAAACGAAAAAGGAGCAACTGTTAGGGTTCATTTGTACCATATTATATACACAAATAAATGTAGATTACAATTAAAATGTACTATATTTTTAGAGAAAAGACAGATACAAAAAATTAGGTAACCAATTAAAAAAAAATCACATTTTTAAGTATCTCCTTTTTCATTTTGAGTATTCTAAAATCGTACCTACTAGTATTTTTTTTTTTTTAACAATGCCACATACTTCACAAACTTACCATTACAAATTATTATCCTCATAGAGTACTCAAAAGATTTTTCTTTAATTGTAAGTATAAAAAAAAGTAATCCAATCAAATTTACAAATTCAAAAATATATTTTTCGCTATTTACAAAATAAATCTTTGGGCATTAAGTAAAATAGCAAGATATTTGAAACCTCAAAAATCGCAAAGACCATTTTAATTTTATGAGCTTAGAAATTAAATTTAATTATTTGCAAAAATAACTACAAAAAATGGGCAACATTCTATTTGAAAGTTAAATACGATACAAGGTTTTGCATTTGAGCTTTCTTCATCATTTGACTAATAAACATAATAAGGCTCAAAAATATATTCTGTAAAAAATGTATCACTAATAGTGCCCAAAATATCGTACTTTTTACCACTACTATAAAGAACCACCCGGTATAAATAATTCAATTTTAATATTATCTATCCATCATTTTTTTTACAATCTTGACAGCTCTCGAAAATAATAATTAATTACCGCCCATTGTTCAAAACTTTTCACACTTTGCAAAAAACCAAATAAATTTTATATTTGATGATATTGCACGCAAACTATCTGAGATACACCTGCAATTGTAAAGCGCATTGCAGCAACAATTTCAGACCCGGCATGAAACCGGCAATTTGAGCGAAATCCGGACCCGATACCAATTGGGTGTGCAACGCGAGTCCCCCCGTATAGTTCCCGGCTTGGATCATTTGGATCATTTCGTGGAGGGCGGCCAAAGTGTTTGCAGACAGCTAAAAGAGAGATATATAGAAACAATATGAATAGTTATAGTTACAAATAAAAAAAAAATGTAACCCTTACCTTTTGTTCCCTTAGCGCGTCATATAATGATTCTAATTTGCGCCCTACGTCTTCCAGTTTTCTTTTGGTTTGCTGTAAAAAATTATTTTTGTACAAATTAACGTCAAAAATTACTTAAAGATATAGTAGGGGGACTAGTGACACTTTTTTTGGTACATATTTGAGCAAGGCTAATTTACTTTGCTGCAGATGCATCAGAGGAGGAGCGTCACTGTAGTAAATGTCACATAAGGCGATTTTAAATTAGTTATTAGAAATGTGGCGTGGTCAAAGTTCTTCCGTACCTATTCCACGGTAATTTGATCATTTATATGATTGAAAATTCCATATAGGGCTAGTGAAGTAGTTATAACTGTCTTGTGGGCGTAATACAAAAAATATTCATCATCTAAAAATTTTGAATAATTAACAAAGGTATTTTTTAGACTTTGACATAGGGCTAACTTAGATTTTTTTTAAATCTTCGTTACCCACATAAGGGTTCCATCCTGTTACAGGAAGGTAGTGGACTGTATATTTGTAGATACTTGTAAAATAAAGAATTTTACTGATGCACTGCTGGATTAGATAACTTCTTTTGGAGTGTTGTAATTAAATTCTAACAAACATGTTGCTGCACGCTTACCGGGTTATTAGCTGCACGACTACACTGATCTTTGAATTCGTCCAAAACGGTTTTCATGTGTAAATGTTCTTCCGGAATCGGCGCCTTTTGTACGGGTTGGGGCGTCTGAACTCTGGGCGCGTTTCGTATTTCTTGGGGTTGATTTAAAATGGCGTTCTGGTTGTATATTCCCGGATTAAACGAAGATCCGAAGGTGTCAGCTTGATGTGGCTGCTGCTGTTGCTGTTGAAACGTCGTAGGTGGATTCTAAATAAAGGAGAATAGTCGGATAAGCCAATAAATACAGTTATGACAGATAATATTTTAAATACGTGCACCTGTCGGTATTTTAAACAAGATAAACCAAGAATTTAAAACTTTTGTTAATTTAAAAACATGCAATGAATGTTCGTAACAGCAAAACTGCAAGCTCAAGATATAGCTTGCATTAAAAACATTTACAATCAAATAAGACATAAAAAACAGTAGTACCATCTTTCATCTCTCTATTAACTTAGTAATTTATATGGTTACAAGGTCTTGTCAATCAAATTTGAAATAATAAACCAAATTATAAAGGAAAAACCTAAATGGCGACAATTTTTAGAAAAAAACGTATCCCTGACTTTTTTTAATTCGTTATTGTTAAATATTTTTTAAATAATAAACCAAAGTATAAAAGATAAAACAATGATTACCAAATTTTCAAAAAAATGTGTAAAATAGTACGAATTTCTTTTATTTAAATTTATAAAATTTGTATATATCTGGAATAAAAATGATCAAAAAAATTAAATACATTTTATGTAAATTCGAAAACTTACCTGTGGATAATAAGATTGATTGTATGCTTGTTGAGGTGGCGCACTTGTATCACCATACCCATTTGTTGGCATCGGTTGAACTGGCGTTGTTCCATACAATGGATGGGTGATGGGTTCAGAAGGTACCACTTCAGCCTTTTGCTTCAGAAATATATTAAAAATTAAAATACGACATCTAAATATTTATGAATATTTTTGACAAAATTATAGTTACGTGAAATATAAATGACATGGATAAAAACGAATTTTCAACACAAAATTTTTTATATGACATTAGAGATGAAAAAAGAAACAAATAAAAACAGGCATTAAAAAGTTGCGCTACAGGAAAAATTTTTTCAAAAAGTTATATCACACTGGGTTATGTCCAAATAAAGCTTCAAACCAAAATTAATTTTAATATACCTTATGCCACAGTCTAACTCCAGCATGACTGGCAGCCATGTTTTTATTTTCCACCAAATTCGCGACGGAATTCTAAATATTCATTCAAATTACTTTATTTAGTCGAAAAAATATTTATTTCAAGTCAAGGAACAAAATAGGTTGGTAAAAATGATGATCTGTCATTAATGACATTTGTCAGGAAAAGACCGATAATGCGAATAATTATTAAGTACAAAACTAGTTATATTATCCAAAATCCTATCAATAATTATTTAAAAAATGTCTTTAAAGAAACTATGATAAAATGTTTGATTTGTGAAATGAAATATCCTCAATAATACAAGAATTATTCAAATAATATCGTTATAGAATTTTTCAATAAATTAAAAGGTAATAAAATGTAACATAGTGTAATAAAATGTAAAACATGTAAAAACGGTGTGAAAAATGTTGTAAAAATGTTCTAATAAAATGAAATAAGAAGTAATAAAATGTATTTAAATGTTATGAAATGTAATAAAATGTAAAAAAAGATATAAAATAAAATGTAATAAAAAGTAATAAAATGTAATAGAAAGTAATAAAATGTAATTTAATGTAATAAAATGTTGTATTAAAATGTAACATAATGTTGTAAAATGTAATAAAATTAAATAAAATGAAATAAAATGAAATAAAATGAAATAAAATAAAATGTAATAAAATGTTAAAAAATGTAATAAAATATTATAAATTGTTGTAATAAAATGTAGTAAAATATAATAGAATGTAAAAAACTTAAAAATGTAATATAATGTAGTAAAAAAGTAATAAAATGTAGTAAAATGTGATAAAATGTTATAAAATGTAAAAAATGTAATTAAACGTAATAAAATATAAAAAACCGTATTAAAAATGTGATTAAATGTAAAAAAAAATGTAGTGAAATGTAATAAAATGAAGTAAAATGTAGCAAATCGCAACAAACTGTTTCAAATGTATTAAAATGTGATAAAATGTAATAAAATGTTCAAAAATGTTAAACAATTTAATAAAATGTAGTAAAATATTGTAGTAACATGTTGTAAAATTAAATAAAGGTAATCAAATGTAATTAAACGTAATAGAATATAAAAAATGTTTTATTAAAATGTTGTGATAAAATGTAAAAAAATGTAGTAAAATGTAATAAAATGTAGTAAAATGTAATAAAACGCAACAAACTGTTTCAAATGTATTAAAATGTGATAAAATGTAATAAAATGTTAAAAAATGTAATAGTAATAAAATGTTGAAATAAAATGTTGCAGTAAAATGTTGTAAAATGTAATAAAGGTAATAAAATGTAATTAAACGTAATAGAATATAAAAAATGTATTAAAATGTGATAAAATGTAAAAAAATGTAGTGAAATGTAATAAAACGCAACAAACTGTTTCAATTGTAATAAAATGTTCAAAAATGTTAAAACATGTGATAAAATATAATAAATTGTTGTAATAAAATGTTGTCACAAAATGTTGCAATAAAATGTAGTAAAATATAATAAAATGTAACAAACGTCAAAATGTAATAAAAGGTAGCAAAATATTGTAGTCAAATGTAATAAAGGTAATAAAATGTAATTAAACGTAATAGAATATAAGAAAATGTTTTAATAAAATAATGTGATAAAATGTAAAAAAAATGTAGCGAAATGTAATAAAACACAACAAAATGTTTCAAATATATTAAAATGTGATAAAATGTAATAAAATGTTAAAAAATGTAATAAAATGTTGCAATAAAATGTAAAAAACCGTCAAAAATGTAATAAAATGTAGTAAAATATTGTAAAATGTAATAAAGGTAATAAAATGCAATTAAACTTAATAGAATATAAAAAACGTTGTAATAAAATGTTAACAAATGCAGTAAAATGTAATAAAACGCAACAAACTGTTTCAATTGTATTAAAATGTAATAAAATGTTAAAAAATGTTAAAAAATGTAATAAAATATAATAAATTGTTGTCATAAAATGTTGCAATAAAATGTAAAATATAATAGAATGTAAAAAACGTCAAAATGTAATAAAATCTAGTAAAATATTGTAGTAAAATTATGTAAGATGTAATAAAGGTAATAAAATGTAATTAAACGTAATAGAATATAAGAAAATGTTATATAAAAATGTTGCGATAAAATTTAAAAAAATGTAGTGAAATGTAATAAAATGTAGTAAAATGTAATAAAACGCAACAAACTGTTTCAAATGTATTAAAATGTGATAAAATGTTAAATTTTTTTAAAAATGTAATAAAATATAATAAAATGTAAAAAAAACGTCAAAAATGTAATAAAATGTAAAGGTAATAAAATGTAATTAAACGTAATAGAATATAAAAAACGTTATATTAAAATGTGATAAAATGTAGTAAAATGTAATAAAAGGCAACAAACTGTTTCAATTGTTTTGGAGTGAGGGTAGCCATATGTGAGTAGTAGGGATTAAGTGTAAGGGGTTAAAGTCTTTAACCCCTTACACTTAATGTTTCAATTGTATTAAAATGTAATAAAATGTTCAAAAATGTGATAAAATATAATATATTGTTGTAATAAAATGTTGCAATAAAATGTAGTAAAATATAACAAAATGTAACAAACGTCAAAATGTAATAAAAGGTAGTAAAATATTGTAGTAAAATGTAATAAAGTTATGAAATGTAATTAAACGTAATTGAATATAAAAAAAATTTGCATTAAAATGTTGTGATAAAATGTAAAAAAAATGTAGTGAAATGTTATAAAATGTAATAAAACACAACAAACTGTTTCAAATGTATTAAAATGTGTTAAAATGTAATAAAATATAATAAATTGTAATAAAATGTTATAGTAAAATATAATAAAATGTAAAAAACGTGAAAATGTAATAAAATATTGTAGTATAATGTAATAAAATGTAATAAATTGTTGTAATAAAATGTATTAAAATGTGATAAATTGTTGCAAAATGTAATAACACGTAATAAAACATAAAAAGCAGACCACTTACCGGATGTTTGACACTCCTAGCCACCGGTGGCGGATCGTTCCATCCAGGAGGGGCGTTGTACGAATTAAAAACCTGCTGCCCCACCTCCAATGGAGGCGGCGGTAAACCGCTTCCTCCGAAACCGCTTTGAGATGACGGCGTCATCGGAGCGGGATTAAAACTCGGATTAGGAGCGGGATTAAAAGTAGACACTCCGGAATTGAACGTTTGACTAGGTAATGATGTCGGCATCGTATTGGAAGCGGGATTGTAGGCGTTACTGCTTATCGGAGGTGGGACGTAAGTATTGGAATAAGCGCTATTCGATTGGAAGGTGTTAATTGGTTGCGGGGCGTATTGGTTGCGGATATCGTACTGGTTGGAAGATACCGAAGGGTCTAAAACGTATTTTCTTGACGGTAGGCCGGTGGAACAACCTAAAAATGTTTACAAAACGTATTAAATAATTAATAAACTTAATAATAATACGCACTGTGACTGGATTCGACGCTCGCAGGCCTAGGAGGATGCGTCAGCGGTGGATTTTGAGGAGGAGTAAATACTCTTTGAGGCTGATTGAAACTCGTTGGAGGAGGAAGAGGCGCCGGCACTGCCGGCGTTTGCCAAGGCTGATTGTTTACAGCCGCGTTCGGTAATCCGGTATTAAATTGATTGTAGTCTAAAAATAAAATTTGTTAACTATCTACCTCTACCTGATGAGTTTAAAACTTACTCGGAACCGGAGCAGGCGTTAAAGGCGTCACTCCGAAGCTGTTCTGGCCGTGATTCGATTGGAAGGGATTCGTAGAAGCGAAAGAATTCACATTTGGATAGCTGGAAAACGAAGTTCTTTGACTGCCTCTGCGAGTTTGTTGTCTAGCTTCTTGCGCGACAATTTGCTTCTGACCTAGAGCAACTTGTAAACGATTTCTTAGAGCGGACACTTTTTCGTTGGCGGACGATCCCAGATAGGCTATGGCGGTCGTCAATTCACCTTGAGAGGCTAGAAGGGAGGCGTAGTGGGAGAGCAGGTCTGCAAGTCCGCCGGATACCTACAAAACGGATCCGAAAAACAATAAATATAATTTTCATAAAAATGTCACTTAATTGTTTCCCGACTTTACAGTTACATAATTAATTTAAGATAATTCGAGATAATTAAAGATAATTAAAGATAATTAAAGATAATTAAAGATAATTAAAGATAATTAAAGATAATTAAAGATAATTAAAGATAATTAAAGATAATTAAAGATAATTAAAGATAATTAAAGATAATTAAAGATAATTAAAGATAATTAAAGATAATTAAAGATAATTAAAGATAATTAAAGATAATTAAAGATAATTAAAGATAATTAAAGATAATTAAAGATAATTAAAGATAATTAAAGATAATTAAAGATAATTAAAGATAATTAAAGATAATTAAAGATAATTAAAGATAATTAAAGATAATTAAAGATAATTAAAGATAATTAAAGATAATTAAAGATAATTAAAGATAATTAAAGATAATTAAAGATAATTAAAGATAATTAAAGATAATTAAAGATAATTAAAGATAATTAAAGATAATTAAAGATAATTAAAGATAATTAAAGATAATTAAAGATAATTAAAGATAATTAAAGATAATTAAAGATAATTAAAGATAATTAAAGATAATTAAAGATAAAGATAATTAAAGATAATTAAAGATAATTAAAGATAATTAAAGATAATTAAAGATAATTAAAGATAATTAAAGATAATTAAAGATAATTAAAGATAATTAAAGATAATTAAGTTGGGTTCTAATTAACAGTGCTGTTCCTAAAGTGGCGCTGGGAAACAGTAACAAAGCCTACACAGAACACGAGGCTAATGGCCGTAGTAGTCGACGCCGATGACACCAAATTAAAAAAAAATTAAAGATAATTAAAGATAGTTAAAGATAATTAAAGACAATTAAAGATATTTAAAGATAATTCAATACAATTCGAGATAATTTGAGTTAATTCGAAATAATTAGAGATATTACGAGAAAATTCCAGATAATTCAAGATAAATTAGGATAATTAAGATAATTATCTTAATTAAGATAATTAAAACAATTAGGTAAATTAATTTAACTCAATATAATTCATGATAATTAAAGACAATGCGAGATAATTCAAGACAATGAGAGATAATTCAAGACAATGAGAGATAATTCAAGACAATTCGAGATAATTCAAGACAATACAAGATAATAGAATTCAAGGTAATTCGAAATAATTTTAAATAATTCGAGATAATTCAAGACAATGCGAGATAATTCAGGACAATACGAGATAATTCAAGACAATACGATATAATTCAAGGTAATTCTAGATAAATGGAGGTATATTAAAATAGATAATTAACATAATTATGTTCTACGTATAGATATAATTAAAGATAATTCGAGATAATTCAAGATAATTTGAGATAATTCGAAATAATTCAAGATATTACGAGATAATTAAAGATGATTCAATATAATTCAAAATAATTCAAGACAATACAAGATACATTAAAATAATTAGGATAATTAAGATAATTAATAAAATTACGAGAATTACGGCAATTAAGAATTTTTAAATAACTAAGATAAGTAAATTAAGATAATTTGATATAATTCGAGATAATTCAAGACAATGCGAGATAATTCAAGACAATACGAAATAATTCAAGACAATACGAGATAATTCAAGATAAATTAAGATAAGTAGAGATAAATTAAGGTAAGTAGAGGTAAAATTAGATAATTAATATAATTCAAGATAATTTGATATAATTTGAAAGTATTCAAGATAATTCAAGACAGTGTAAGATAATTCAGGACAATGCGAGATAATTCAGGACAATGCGAGATAATTCAGGACAATACGAGATAATTCAAGACAATACGAGATAATTCAAGGCAATACGAAATAATTCAAAACAATACGAGATAATTAAAGACAATACGAGATAATTTAAGACAATATAATTTGAAATAATTCGAGATAATTCAAGATAGTGCGAGATAATTCAGGACAATACGAGATAATTCAAGACAATTCAAGATAATTCGAGATAAATTAAGATAATTAGAGGTATATTAAGATAGATAACTAAGATAATTATGTTCTCCGTATAGAGAGATACCAACCTTTACTTGCCGTCCTTGCCTTTCGATGGCCTTTTGCAAAAACGTAACCAGTTCAATCAATTCCTGTAGACTTTCTGTCGATTGTAGAGCGTTACCGCTCCAGCTGGACACGAGTTTATCAAAACTGCCGGCGCAAATGTAACACAACTGAGCGTCCTGAGACAATTTCGGATTATTATTGCTTTCCTCTTCTAATCTGTTGCCTAACTGTTCTAAAAACGAGTAAAATTTCTTAGTAAAGTTGCGTATAGGGAAGATAACAAATATCTCTTACCGCATAAAGCGGGTAGATCATCGTCCGAGGCGTGAGTTAGAACTGCGGCTAACGCCTCCTTCCAATTGCTAATATCACAATTATCTATTATTAAACCACAATCTTCCGAGACTATCGCCGATATCAGCGTGGATACGTAATCGTTGGTTTGTTCTAAATACTTTAATTGAGTTTTCGCTACTAAATCTGGACCACCTGAAAAAGCAAGTGAAACAAAATAGATTTTTGAAAGTTTCTAGTTCAAACGGTTTTGACTTACCTGTAGTAGCGATAATTAAAGCGTCTGCAAATCGTTTCGATTTCAAACAAAGTTCCACGGCGGCTACAACGTTATTTAACAAAAGCGCTTGCGTGATAAGTCCTTCAGTATCTACAACCGAATATAAATCATTATTATAAAAAAATTAGACCAAACATATTAATTTACCCCTTACCATCGTTAGTGTTGATTTTAAAAGGCTTAGTTAATTTCTTTTCTCGCTGTTTCGAAACGGAACTGAACGCGTTTTGTCGATCGTAATCGTCTATCTAAAATTAATAGTAAAGCAAATTAGTTTTCTTAAAAATGGAGCAATACAAATCGCGGCAACCCTGAGTGGGGTCAAGTTTTTCTTAGGCAACCCTATACTATCGTACAGAGAATAAATTACCTTTACTTTAAGCTATGATTCATATAAAAATAAAAACACTAAATGGGCACTTGGAAATGTTTCAGATATTAATGAGAAAGTTAGGTGAGAATGCAAAGAAGATAGATGAGAATGTAAAGAAGCTAGATGAAACTAAAGAGAAAATGGAGAAAATGGAGAAAATAAAGGAAGAACTAGAATCTTACAATAAAATTGAAGACACATAAAAGGAAAATAAAAGAGTAGAATTAAATGACGAAGAAGTAAATATACAAGAAAAAGATATAAGGATAAAACTAGAAGAGATAAAAATAGAAATTGAAGAACAATGAGCTAATGAAGAAAAACGTATTAAAAACACTAAAAGAAAAACAAGAATTAAAAAAAAAAATGAAAAAGAAAACATATAGAATCAATAACAAGAAACAAAGTTATTTATTACAAAAAATTAAGATAAAATTGAAACAGAAACAGGATGAAAAAAAAACACTAAATGGGCACTTGGAAATGTTTCAGATATTAATGAGAAAGTAAGGTGAGAATGCAAAGAAGTTAAATGAGAATGCAAAGAAGTTAAATGATAAGGAAAAGAAGCTAGATGAGATTGAAGAGAAAATGGAGAAAATCAAGGAAGAATTAGAATCTTACAATAAAATTGGAGACACATAAAAGGAAAATAAAAGAGTAGAAATAAATGAAGAAGTTAAATGGGAGTGCAAAGAAGTTAGATAAGAATGTAAAGAAGTTAGATAAGAATGTAAAGAAGCTAGATGAGATTGAAGAAAAAAATGGAGAAAATAAAGGAAGAATTAGAATCTTACAATAAAATTGGAGACACATAAAAGGAAAATAAAAGAGTAGAAATAAATGAAGAGGAAGTAAATATACAAGAAAAAGATATAAGGATAAAACTAGAAGAGATAAAAATAGAAATTAAAGGAAAAGGAGTTAATGAAGAAAAACAGATTAAAAATATTAAAAGGCAAATAAATATAAGTAAAAGAAATAAGAAAAAACAAGAAATAAAGAAAAAGAGAAAAAGAAAACATAGGATCAAGAAGAAGAAACAAAGTTACTACAAAAAATAAAAAAGCAATTAAAAATGAAAATAAGAATAAGACTGAAACGGATACGAAATGAATATGAAAAAAAAAAAAAAATAGGTAACGATGAATGCTTAAAAATAATTTAGAATCGGGGGTTGACTAAACAGAGATTTTATAAACAAAATAGTCCAGGAAATAATTCTATTGGACGTAAATCCCTGGAAAACGTAAAATAGCTTAGGAAACGAAGTATTTTTTAAAAATAAAAAACAATGAAAATGAAGTATGACAAATAGATTAAAAAAAAAATAGTGTAGGAAATATTTTTTTTACACTAATTCCTGAAAAATTTTAAATATAGGCATTCTTTTCAAAGATAATTCCTGGAAAATGTAAACTACCCTAGGAAAACAAAGTATTTAATAATAAAAAAATGTGACAATGCAAAATTGTGAAAAACAATTTTATAAACAAAATAGTCCAGAATATAATTTGTTTATACGTTAATCCCTGGAAAATTTAAAATAGCCTAGGAAACAAAGTGTATTTTTTAGAAATAGAAAACCATGAAAATGATAAAGCATGAAAAATAGAGATTTTATAAAAAATAGTACAGAAAATATTAATTTTTTGGACGTTATCCCTGAAAAATTTGAAATATCGAAATAGTGTGATATTTTTTATGTAATTAAAATGTGAAAAACCTGGGAAACAGTAAATTTATAAAGAAAAAACTATGACAATGGTAAGTTATGAAAATAGAGATTCTATAAACAAAATAGTCCAGGAAATAATGTTTTTGGACGTTAATCCCTGGAAAATGTAAAATAGCCTAGGAAATAAAATACATTTTTAAAAATAATAACTATGAAAATGGTAAATTATGAAAAATAAAGATTTTATAAAAAAAATAGTCTAAGAAATATTTTTTAATCTCTGGACAATTTAAAATATAGAAATAGTATAAAACTAAAAATGGTGAACTATGAAAAATATCGATTTTATTAAAAATAGTCCAGGAAAAATAAACGTGGAAATGGCAAATTATAAATAATAGATTTAAATAAAAAATAGTCCAGGAAATAATTATTTTTTTATTATTGAACCAATTTAAAACGGAAAACCGGTGGGTGATTCGAAATGTAATATTATTTTGACAGTAGCGAAAAATTACTCCTGCCATACGTATTACCAAGTCATAAAGTGTCCAAAGGTAAATATTTTTTTTACTTTGACAATTGTGTGATATTTTTTATTTAATTAAAAAATTAGAAATAGCCTAGGAAAAAAAATATATTTTAAAAATTAAAGAAAATCAAAATAGTAAATTGAGATTTTATAAACAAAATAGTCCAGGAAATATTTTTTCTGGACGTTAATTCCTGGAAAATGTGAAATATAGAAAAAGTGATATTTTTCATGTAATTGGGGAATAAGAAATAGTCTAGGAAATAAAATATATTTTTGAAAGATAAAAAAACTGAATAATTTTTTTTAAGTTAATCCTTGGAAAATTTGAAATATAGAAATAACATTTTTTTATGAAACAACTGTGAAAATATTAAATTATGAAAAATGGAGATCCAGGAAATATTTTTTTAGACGTTAATCCCTGGAAAATTTGAAATATAAATATATTTTTTTTTCTGAAAAAACAACTGTGAAAATGGAAAATTATGAAAAATACAGATTTTACAAAAAAATAGTGCAGGAAATATTTTTTTAGTTTGAAAAAGTTAAGGCAATAATCCCGGTAAAATATGACAAATAGAAATGTGATATTTTTATTTAAATTAAAAATAAGAATAGAAGAAACAAAATTTATCTTTTCAAATTAAAAAAAAAACGGTAAGTAAAAATGTAAATTATGAAAAATTGAGATATAGTTAAAAAATAGTCCAGGAAAATTGCTAAATTATTGTCTATTTAATGAAAAAGCTAAACATCACAGCTACTCACCCGATTTAAATTGGTGAAATCTTCATTTAATCCATCGACGTCATTGTCAATTCCGACTCCGGCGTGCAAATCCAAATTCTTGTTGATATCCGTCAAATTATAGCCCAGTAAATTCAACAATTCGACGCGCGGAACTTCCTGAAAATTGGCTTTCAAAAAGTTCCAAATGTACTTCTTGTGCTGATCGTTCGTTTGTTCGGATTTGTCTAGGCAATAATCTGCAATAACGGCATTTATAAATACTTGAAAACAGTCGAATGTTCTATAAACTTACCCGTGAAATTACCATGTTCTAAAGATTTTTCTAATTCGTTGGATTTCTTTACGAAATCCGGTTCGGTAATGACTTGACTAACTTGAACGGTTCGATGCACCGGCGGCGGTTGCTGACCGGGTTGCAAGTTTTGCAACGCTTGCGCAATGGCTGCTTTATCGGTTTCAAAGCTGATTAATTTCCCGCCAAACTGCAATATGACTTCATTTATAAGTTTTCAAAATCGTTTTAAATATAAAAATACATTGAATAAAGAAGCGCTTGCTGGCAAACAAGACGTTTTCAGATATATTACAGTCCGGGAAAGATTGGTTATTTAACAGAATTTGGAAAATGGTAAAGGAAATCCTGATACTTTATTAAAAATTAAGCTTTTGGAAAGTTTATAATGAAATTAGAGATATCGTTTTAAAAAATTATATTTTATAGACGAATTAAAAAAAAAACTGGATAAAATATGGGAAATAGTACGAAAAATTGACAAAGGAATAGATTATTCCTATAATACAGTGTGTCCAATTAAGTCGGAACTGTATGGGAAACTTTTTAATTCTTATTAGTTTTATGAAAAAATGTCATTCTTTATAAAAAGTTCTGCATGATCCAAAACTTAAAATGCAACCATCAGACAATTTTTTTAAGCCGTATACGAGGTTTGTCAAAAAATATAAATTTTGCTGGGTAAAGTACCTTTATTTTTGACAAACCTCGTATGCGACTAATAAAATTTAATATAATATGATGAGTGTATTTAGGTTTTAGACTATGCTCGACTTTTTATGAAGAATAACTACTGTTTTTTCTAATATTAATAATAAAAAGTTTGAAAAACTGTCTACGTAAGTTGATGAAAAATTTTATAAACAAAATAGTCCAGGAAATATTTTTTTGACGTTAATCCCTGAAAAATGTAAAATATAGAAATAGTGTGATATTTTCTAACAATTTAAAAAATCAAAGGCAATTTATTAAAAATAAAAAACTAAAAATGGTAAATTTAGAAAATAGAGATCATATTAAAATATAGTCCAGGATATAAATATATTTTTTGCTTTGAAAAAGTTAAGACACTCCTTAGAAAATGTGAAATATAAGAATATTGTAATATTTTTTATGTAATTAAAAAATGAGAAATAGCATAAGAAACAAAGTATTTATTTTTTAAATAAAATAAAAAAACTAAAAATGTAAAATTATGACATTATTCCCTGGAAGATGTGAAACAAAAATAGTTTCGGCATTTTTTATTAAATTAAAAATTAAAATAAGCCTAGAAAACAAGAAACAAAGTATATTTTGTTGAAATAAAAAAAAACTGTGATATTGGTAAATTATAAAAAAATAGAGATTTTATAGGCAAAATAGTCCAGGAAATATTTTTTTGACGTTAATCCCTGAATAATGTAAAATATAGAAAGTGTGATATTTTTTAAGTAATTTAAAAATGAGAAATAGCCTACCGATGAAACAAGGGCAATTTTTTAAAAATAAAATATTGAAAATAGTAAATTATAAAAAATAGAGATTTTTATTGAAAAATAGTCCAGGAAATAAGTACATTTTTTGCTTTGAAAAATATAAGACATTAATCCTTGCAAAATGTGAAATATAGAAATATCGTGATATTTTTTACGTTATTAAAAAATGAGAAATAGCCTAGGAAACAAGGGCAATTTTTTTATTTTTAAAAAATGGTAAATTATGAAAAATAGATTTAAATAGATTTTTATTGAAAAATAGTCCAGGAAATAAGTATTATTTTTTTTTTAAGTTAACACATTAAGCCTTGCAAAATGTGAAATATCGTGATATTTTTTACGTTATTAAAAAATGAGAAATAGTCTAGGAAACAAGGGCAATTTTTTATTTTAAAAAAATGGTAAATTATGAAAAATACAGATTTTGATTGAAAAATTGTCCAGGAAATAAGTATTATTATTTTTTTTTTTTTTTTTTTTTTTGAAAAAGTTAACACATTAATCCTTGCAAAATGTGAAATATAGAAATATCGTGATATTTTTTACGTTATTAAAAAATGAGAAATAGCCTAGGAAACAAGGGCAATTTTTTATTTTTAAAAAATGGTAAATTATGAAAAATAGAGATTTTTATTGAAAAATAGTCCAGGAAATAAGTATTATTTTTTTTTTAAAGTTAACACATTAAGCCTTGCAAAATGTGAAATATAGAAATATCGTGATATTTTTTACGTTATTAAAAAATGAGAAATAGTCTAGGAAACAAGGGCAATTTTTTATTTTTGAAAAATGGTAAATTATGAAAAATACAGATTTTTATTAAAAAATTGTCCAGGAAATAGGTATTATTTTTTCTTTTGAAAAATTTAACACATTAATCCTTGCAAAATGTGAAATATAGAAATGTGATATTTTTTACGTTATTAAAAAATGAGAAATAGCCTAGGAAACAAGGGCAATTTTTTAAAATAAAAACTAAAAATGATAAATTATGAAAAATAGAGATTTTTATTGAAAAATAGTCCAGGAAATAAATATAATTTTTGCTTTGAAAAAATTGCCTTGTAAAATGTGAAATATATAAATAGTGTTATATTTTTATGTAATTAAAAAATGATAAATAGCCTAGGAGACAAAGTATATTATTTAAAAATAAAATATAGTCCAGGAAATAAATTTTTTGACGTGTATCGCTGGAAAATGTAAAATCTAGAAATAGTGACATTTTTAAAATAAAAATAACCTAGGAAACAAAAATGTAAAAAAAAATGTATGAAAAATAAAGGTAATAATTGTTTGACGTTGATCCCTGGATGAAATATAGAAATAGTGTGATATTTTTTTGTATTTAAAGAGCGGCAAATAATCTAGGAAATAAAGTAATTTTTTAAACAATAAATAACCTGAAAATGGAAAATTTTGAAATATATTTATTAAAGAATAGTCCAGGAATATTTTATTTCGAAAAAGTTAAGATCCGGGAAAATGTAAAATACACAGAGTGTGATATACTTTTTATTTAAAATAGCATGCAAAAATGATAAAATGAAAAAAGTAAATATCTTTGAAAATTTAGAACATAGTCCAGAAACATTTGGATTTATAAATATATAAATTTATCCAAAAAATTCTAAAATATCCTGATAAAATATAAAAAACTTTTAATTTGTAAAATAGGTTATGAAATCAAAAGGGTAATAGTAATTATTTTAAAAATTATAAAAATAGTCTTGGAAAATTGATTTAAGTAAATTAAAAAAAAAATGTTTGGTTGTAATCATGAGCCCCCCCAAACAACTATAAGCTATCGAGAAATAAAAAACACAGACAACAACAAATTAAAATAAAAAAAAATAACTTACGCCAAAACTAGCCCCTACAGGTTTCTTCAACCACTTAGGTGGTTTACTTAAATCGACACTGACAGGGCCACTGTCCTGTTGAGGCACTGGAGTCTCCGCATAACCATCCATACCAGGAAAACTATCAGCAATTTTATTTGTGGTTTGTATTTGTTGAGTTTTGCCTGAAAAGCAAAACCAGGAATGACAAAATTTCATAAAGTACCAGCTTAGTATCAGGCAATATCAAACAGAGTGGGTCCCAGAATGGAATCTTAAGGAACACCATAATGTCTGAAAATGATCAAATCAAATATGATGCCTGTTCTTACCTCCCATTATAGAATACACAGAAATGTGACCATCAAAGTTGGGTGAAGCAATCAAAGCAGGATTCCTAGGACACCAGATCACATCAAAACTCCATTGATTAGTTTTTGCTACTTCTGCCAATATTTCACCATTCTGACTGTTAGAATTCGGATTCCAGCATAGAATCCTGTTATCTTTTCCACAGGACACCAACAAATCTGCATCCTCTGAACACCATGACATGGAGAGTATGCCTCTTTGGTGGTTTTGTAATGTCTTCAGTGGTGACGTGGCAAATCTCAAATCCCACAATTGAATAACAGGGGCTTGATCTTCTTCTACCAAACAAAACCAAAAGAATAGACCATAGAAGAGTGGTTTTTTATTTGAAACTTACCAGAAGCCAAGCAAAGCTGAGTAGCGACTTCAGGATGCCAAGCTACTACCTTCCATCTGATTCTGGAGACTGTATCAGTCAATTTTATTATTGGTTCGTTTTTTCTGAGGTCCCAAATAACGCATTTCGATGGAAATGTTGATGCTAAGATATGTTGAACTTGTTGGTTCCATGATACTGATAGTACATCTTCTAAAGGCTGACTTTTAGTACCTGGGTGAACATATGTTCTTTAAGAATTTAAAGAAGAAATTAAACTATTGGGAAATAAAGGAACACAGTTATGGAAAATTTAAACAATAATAAAAATTAAAACTAATAAAGTAATTTGGTGACATAATTAAACATCTTTTTTTAGTTATAACAAAATTCTAGTTTATTTCATTAAGTTATCTATAGTGGTATTATATTTTTATCAGTAAAATAAGTTCATGTCATAAACTATTTGAAAATGATAATGAAATCAAAGTTTGTTTAAAAGGTCATGGTAATAAATTAATTAATAAATAGTTTATTGCACTTATATATACATACAGAAAATGTACAAAGCTAGTCAAAAAGAAAATATATTTTTTTTATAAATATAGTTAATATAACATATTAATTTTCCTTTTATGCATGTATATATTGCTCCTCGTTCATAGCCAGAGATTTTGTGATATGGAAAGTTATAGTTAATATTATGCCTTGTACCATAAGCTTGAGTAGATTTAAACTCTTCAAAATAATGAGTATTTTTAAACAAAAATGCAATGCACTTAAATATGTATAACGCAGGAATTGTAAGTATATTTAAGGATTAAAATGTGTTCTACAAGACTACAAAACCTATTTTTCTCATTATAAAAGTTTGTGAAACAAAAACCAAGGTGTTAGAACAAGAGGTCATATCTACAAAACTTTCAATTTGAAGATTTTTTTACATATATTTATTATTTAATAAGCTTACATTTTATTTTGTTATTATAGAATGACTTAATGCATTATAAAACATTTAAAATTATATAAAAAGGTTTACCAAAACTGTAAAACTTACTTTATGATGTCTAGGAGGACGTAATTATGTACACTTACTAAAAATATTCATTTTGTAGATACAACCTCTTAGAATGCATTACATTTGTTTATATAATCTCATAAAAGATGAGCTAAAAAAGGCTCCAAACACTCATAGAAATCTGTTACCATACACATTTATTTTTAAATGAAATATCAATACAAAACAGCATATACAACTAATATTTTTACTACCTTTAAGTTATCAAAATGACTTACCTGGTGACATAGGTGTACTGGTATTGTTCAAATCCCAAATAAAGATTTCCGACTCCCCGGCCCCACTGGCAAACAAATTTTGCTGGAAATTATTAAAATCTAAAGCATGTACAGGTCCAGCATGTTTTTCTTGTTTGCCTACAATTCCGTCTTCACCTTTCAACAATTTTGATGCATTGTAAATTTGAATTAGACCTCCATCACAACCTCCTACTATAATAGAATTAGGATTATTCCCATAAGAACCCCATATTAGTTTGTGAAAACGATGGTCACTCTGTACACTACATACTGCTTGTGTATCAGGATCTGGGTCGGTTAAATTCAGGGAATATATTTCTAAAGTTGCGTTTGTATTAAAAGATGCATCTAATTGCTGAGCTGCGGTCCCAGCTGCAAGGTATATGGGATGTTGATTTTTCGGGGACCAAGCTACATTAGCGGTACGTTCTATATCTTTTACTTTCATATTTATGTTCCAATGACTGAAAATAATTTAAAACAGATTAATGAGAAATATAAATTTTGTTTGACTTACATCAGTACGTGTACAAATCCATAAATTTTAGGCACAAATTAATGTGAACTTCCAACGTGGCCAAAATATTAATCGTTTTGACAGCTTGATATAAATATAAAAACAATAAACTGTAAATATTAAATTTTATATTTTTTCTAATACAACAATGAATACGGTACAGATTTCTAATACTAGGAATTCATTTATTATAAGAGTAATCGTAGGAAAATATTAAAATATTTACAAAAATAATTGTACTCACAACTGACACTGACAATCAACTGACTTTTATAAGCAGCGTTGCCAGACGACCAAAGGCGAATTATTGTACAATGCTGTAGAAATTATCGTTTTTTTTCATGAAATTATCGTACAAAACTAGGATGAACATATTTCACCATATTTCTTTTCGTACTCTTTGAATTGCTATCAAAAAAACCTCTACTTGTAGCTTTAGCTAACCAGCCGTTAAAATCTGCCATACACTCCCATGTTTTACAATATTTCTGTGCTTTATGATGTTTTGCAACTATTTTATCACTTAATTTAAGTCTTTTACTTATCGAACGTTTCTCATTTTCACTGCTGCAGGAAGAGGAAGACATTTTAATAAAAATATTACTAAAAACTAAGGGTGAGATTACAGAACGTCTGCAACTTTGCAGATCTGCAAATATGGCGGACTTACAAATGCAAGTATTCCAAAAAATATCTGCAAATTCACAATATTTATTGTGGTTTATTACCCCCAACAACACTAAACCCAAATTTGGAATACGAAAACTTGATACTTGCATGTGTAAGTCAGTCATATTTGCAAGATTTTCAAAGTTGCCGCCATATTTGCAGATCTGCAAAGTTGCAGACGTTCAGGGGGTCGATTCTCGACTTGTAGGAACCTTTTCCTATAGGAATTTGTGACACTTTCCTATATGTAGGAAAATGTCATAAATTTTCGATGTATATAAAAATGTCAAAAATTCCTATAGGAAAATATTCCTACGAGTCGAGAATCGACCCCCTGTAATCTCACCCTAAGTACCTAACTAATATCCGAGGTCAGCATAATATATGAAAAGCATCGAATCTCGAATCGTTGAAATGACTCGAGAGCTCGGAGGTCGTATTGACTTGAAATAATACGGTTTAGCAGTCGCCGTCGTCCGTTAATTCCATTTTTTTTTTTTTTTTGGGAGGGCAACAAATTCAATATATTTTTCAATTTATCAAAATTCAGAAATTATCGTACAATTAACCATTATTGATCGTACATCGTACCCTGATTGTAATTATCGTACAAATACGATAATTATCGTACGTCTGGCAACGCTGTAAATAAGCGTCACGTGTACTGTCAAATGTCAAACATATGATGACAACGTTTTTTGGAAGTACTTCCTAGAAATATAAATAAAAATGTTTTCGTTTTTATTCGTTACGCTCTAAACGAAACAGAGAATTCCGATTAGATTAGATAAATATATAAAAATATTAGACCATAGATTACCCACAGACTGTGGATTGAAAAAGCAGGAAATTTTTTCATAAACATTGGTCCATAAAAATTTGCTCCAAATCAAAACAAACGAACAAATACAAGAGTTACACGTTGCCACAGTGTCTATCCTTTAGAATTAATACCGATATGTGTGCAATAGTTCAAGCTTTAAAAGAGTTATAACTAACTCAGTAAATTTAAATAATCTAAATCTTTTTAATTTCCCGTATACTTTTTGCTTTGAATTTACGGCGTATCGGTTTAGTTAAACATTTGGAACATTTGGCAACCTTGTCTGTGTATGTTACTTTTGTTTTGAAACAAAGCACATCCAGCACATCACCTTTGCCTTTGGTTCTCGCGGCGAGTCATGGGCGAGTCCATTAAATATTAAATTACTAATTTTATTCATTGGATTTGTAGTTTTGTGATTCATTATTCATTCCATTTTGTGGCCGAGTAGAGCTAGAGATTCTAAAATTAGTAAAGGCCCAAAAAAAGAATTGTGAATTTATAATTCGAGTTCTGTGTTACGGCGGCTTATATTTTGTAGTTAGATAGAATTACGGCGAAGTACTTAATTTGTCATTTCCAATTTAAAAGGAATCTAGAGGCGTCTAGAAAACTGTAAGTACAATTATTATTTTAATTGATTACCCAAATTAATTAAATTGGAGCTTGAGCTTCAAATTATACACCCACATACTTTGATTTTCTGATTTTCTTTTACTATACGGAGAATGGTCGCACTGCGCAGCTTTCTGAGTGCCTTTTAAAAGGAGATAGAAAACTCCGCCATTTTGAACCCCTATTACGTGTTGCCTACATCTTGGCGCAATATTTTTAATAGGTGCGTTTTAATCATCCGCTTCTGCTTCGGAATTGTCGGTTTTCTTGTTTTAATCTGACAGGTTAAAACGACTAAACCGACAATTAGGCATTCCAAACTGAATGACTACCAGTGGGTTTTGACAGGTTATGATAGGCCAAAATTATGGCAACCCTGTAGGCCTGGTGATTTGACAAGGTCAATGAAATAGATAGTTACATAGATTGATCATCCATATTTTTCAAAATAAACATAAGGTGAGTTCGGGCTGCGCACTCCAGAGTGGAGTGTAGTAATTAGGCGTAAAACGGAGTGCGAATATGATTTTACTCCTTTAACTCTCGGAGTGCAATGTCAATTGTCAATGTGACATACCAGTACTTAAAATTTAATCGTACTTGTCAGTAACGACCGTATAAGTTTCTTCCATATTAATGATATTCACGGGAACCAAAAAAAAATTTATTTACTAAAGAATAACTCACAATTAACTTATTATCAATTTAAATCACCTTATGCGCATGCCCGATCCACACTCCACTCCACCATCTCCGAACGGTCAAAGAGGAACTTTTATTTTAACTCCTTCCGTACCCGAACGCCTTAGGTACTTTAGGAGTGAATATAGTGAAAAGAGTGCGTAGACCGAACTCACCAATAAGCTTATGCCTTGAAGTAAAAATGTAAGCAATTATTTTTTTTAAATATCCAAAGGTTGAAAATTGGTTTTAAAGCACATTTTTGCTAAACCAATTTAAATTAATAAATATTTGCCAGGGAATATGGCCGCTCGCAAACGACCAGCTTTGAGCAATTTATATAAGGTTTGTTCGTAGAGCGATCCACAACCGTTTCCAACTGAACAGCGCATGCGCATTGATTATTTTGCGTTCGTAGAAGAATCACTGATAGTTTCCAATTATTAATTTGGTGTTCGTAGAAACAAATGAAGTAATTGCCAACTGATTGGAAACTGTTGGAAAAATCCCTGATTATTCTCCGAATTTTAAATCCGGGGCATGCGTACATGAATTATTTTTAATAACCTACAATTTGACATTTGTTTGGCTTGAAATTTATGTCCGTTTATGTGTTTTTAATTCGTCAATACTTATATTGATTTGATTAGTTGTTTTTATAAGTGTAATTAGTACAGATACATAACCATTAATAAATAACATGACCACAAAGACCTACACCATTCAGTATCCTGATAAAATATCAGTCTTTAACTTTAAAACAGGTAATAAAAGTAAAATATGTTGATAAAATGGGAATTTGGGTGCAAATTATAAACACAATTTCTTCTTTTTTTTAACCGTTTACTAAATCTATATCTAATTCACGAGAATAGTAGAGAAGAATCCACAACTGTAAAACATGCGTTCGCAGAGCATAAAAATGACAATAAATCCCAAACCGTTGAAAATCGCGCATGCGCATCATAAAAGAATCACCAACCGTTTGAAACTGTCTCTACGAACAAACCTATAACTATATATGTATCATTGACCCTGTTAATGACAACATGACAACAGGGTTGCCATATCTAAACTGTCAGTACCCACTGGTAGCCATTTGGACAGGTCGTTGGAATGCCTAATTCCGGAAGCAGAAGCGGATGATTAAAACGCACCTGATATTTTGCTTGCTGCTGTCAGTGTCAGTGAATATTATTTTTGAAGTCACAGTTTATTGCTAAAGAATCAGTTAGCTCACTCGGACCAGTTGAAAGTTCCAAACTAACATCCACTCCAGGGATACAAATTCAGGATACGCAGAAGACTGCTGTTTTGTTATAGGCGGTTGTCATATATTGAATTATCCGAGTTGCACAGTGTATAAACTGAAACATTGATATCAAAAGTGCCGACGCAGAGTGAGCGATCTGATTCTTTAGCTGTAAACTGTGTCACAGGGTTCAAAATGGCCACTCCCTATGTTGGACGTGTCGGACCTCTCTCTTGCCTCGTATAGTAATCAAAGTATGTGTATACACCTAAAACCTCGTCGGTCGTCGGCCCCAGCCGACTATGCTCATGCTCCAATGATATGTATAGTTATATAGATTGCTTACCCCTATGTAAATAAGATGACGAAAAGTGGGCCTCTGAAAACATTAAAAAGCTTGAGTCTACGTATTTTAAAATAGTTTATGTTATAAAGAGGAAAAGTTGAATTTTTCGGGCAACTATGAGTACGAAAATACACTTTTCGTCCGCGTTTCGTACAATATTTTTTATTTGAATGTGCTTATAGATATTATAAAGATATGGAAAATTTAAACAAGAGAGAAAAGGCAGATTTTTGGACTTACTACTTGTCTATAATTGGTAAACAGTATATCAGTTTTTAACACTATGTAAAGTAAGTGTATTTTTTATTCAAAATTCGTCAAAATTTCTATTAATGTTAAAATCCTTAATTCTAAATTGTCATGGAGAAGAAAAAATAGTAACTTTTAATAATAATTGAATGTTAATAGTTTTAATATCATTAGAAGTTCTTAAAAGATTAAGTTCCTATATAGTTTAGAAACATGTGTGTTATCACCATAAGATGGATCAAAGGTCACGCCACATTGAAAGGTAACCGTCTTGCTGATTCACTAGCCAAGAAAGCAGCCAACCAAATACTTTTTGGACCTGGCCCTTCTATTGGCCTGACAAAATTGGTAGTGACAAACCTAATCAAAGAACATTCCCTTGTGAAATTCAAGGAAAGATGGGATGAAACAAGAAACTGCAGAGTTTCCAGGGAGCTAGGAGGTGCCTATCATCTCAGGAGGATGCACAATGGGTCTAATGAGGCCTAAGTGCCGTGGGGGGTAACCCACCCTCCACACGTTACAGATACAGAGATACATGTGTGTTATTCACTAAATTTATGTACTTTAAAAATAATAATTTTTGTTAAATACACTGATACTTATAATTAATTGCTGACAATTATACA